ATTTCCACCTTTGCAAATTTTTCCATCTCCTGAGTATCCAGCCCTACATGTACAGTTGTACGATCCCTTGGTATTGTTGCATACAGCATCAGTGCTACAGTCGTGCTTTTCTCTAGCACACTCATCAATATCTGAAAATACATCATATCTGCTTTTTAAATTGCCACTAAGGCAGTCAAAATTTGTCATATATTCCGAAAGCAAGGAAGACAAATGTGCTCGTATTTACTCGCACTGGTTATTTTGCTTAAAACCGAAAACATATTTCATGTAAAACTATAAAACTAGTAACAGAAAAGGATTTTGAGGAATTTCTAAATACACTCAGAATGAAATCAACATTATTTTTCATTGCGAGGCAAACATTTTAAGGATGTCTAGAAATTCATAGTTTTGTAGCGTAAATTCAATAACCAGTCTTTTATAATCCATAAAGCAATCGTTAGTGCTTTGAAATGTTTATATCGAAGTACTTCACCACGGGAATATACCTTTCTGAGTATTTTTTAATTAGTTAATTATAATTTATTAATTAATTAATAGTTAACATTATTATTGTTGTCATTATAAGTTAAATTTTCTTGTTTACAATCAAACTAAGAAGCCACACTGCACGCATTCTTAGCCGGAGATGCCATTACACCGTATCCTTAAGAATGTCCTCTGGGAAGCATATCGCATTGAGAGAGCTCTGCATGGCTTAATTTTTCTAATTTGCTTAGAAACGCAGACATTGAGTGAATAATTATGTAAAGACAAAGCTTAATCTACTCAAACAAGTAATACACATGAGTAAATTGAGCACGAAGTCTTATCCTCGTGTTAATTTCAAAAATAACCAGAATGTACCTGAACACGAGCGTCCGTCTCCTCTGTATCCCTTCTTACAAGAACAATTATAGGAACCATATGTGTTTTGACACCTGGCATTCACGTCACAAGTATGGCCGTCGGTGCTACATTCATCAATATCTGAACGTTCATAGGTAGTTAAAATCACAAAACAAAACTGTTTACACATTATGCAGATTCAATCTTCTCCATAATATACAATCATATAATCATGACATAGACCGGAATTATTTTGATAAGAACGGTGGGAAATCATAACAAAATAATAAAATAAAGATGCGCAAAAGCATCGCATTCGACATTCCTATCCTGGCAGCGTGGAAGAATTTTCTCGCCATGGACCTAGTTTGACTGTCCAGCCTGCCGCCAGTCTCCTATAGTTCAGTAATAGAGCATCCGAAATAGTGATCAAATGTTTGTAGTTTCCACTTCTATTGTGAGCACCCGCAGATCTTTTTGTACATTTGTACATTTGATTCCCCGAAATTTTTGCTATAAGCATCAGCACCACAGCCGGCAGGTCTTTGCAAAATCATCAATATCAGAATAAGCATATCATTATTTCATCTTGAATAAATCCTGTACCTTTAATTTTGCTCTCTGAGCATAGTATTAATAATATAGAGTGCGACAATCTCTGTGGCCCCACAATTAATTCGCAATATCTCATTGCATTACCTTTGCAGCTCCATCCATCTCCAGAGTATCCAGGTTTGCATTCACAGTTGTACGATCCCTTTGAATTGTTGCAAACAGCATCGGGATTGCAGCTGGGCTCTTCTTTAGCACATTCATTAACATCTTAAAAAACATCATTATTTGATCTGTTATAATATCGGTAACATTTGTTTTCATGACATTGCATCGCTAACATACAATAAAACAACCTGTGTGCTCTACATTTCACTTAAAGGTCCATCTGTACCCTCAGTATTGTTGCAAACAGCAGCAGCACTGTAGCTGTGCTCTTTAGTAGAGCATTTCTCAATATCTAAATATGCAAATCATAACTTGATCTTTATGATGTCAATTGCATATAATTGCATAACGTGACATTGATAATTTAGAATGCAACAATTCATGTGTTTTGCAACATTGCATCAACGATATTGAATATTTTTGCCTCTGAATTTAACCTTCCATATTCCATGGCATTACCAGTGCAGGTCCTTCCGTCCCCAGAATATCCAGGTTTGCATGTACAGTTGTACGATCCCTTGATATTGTTGCACTCAGCATCAGCACTGCAGCTGTGTGTTCTTGTAGCACACTCGTCAATATCTAAGTATGCACATTATTTATTTACTTGTTAAAATGTCAGTTGCATTTTTATAACATTGCATTGATACCATAGAATATAGCAATCGATCTCGGC